TACAATAACCATAACTTTACCTTACAATAACTTTCAGAATACGATCAATTTGATCGTGGTGAAAGAAATACACAAAACTCCAAATAAACTGGGCCACTTGCTACCACGGAACTCTGATTTGATTTTCTCAAAGAGTATAAAACTTACAACTATGAAAATTATAACTACAGAAAGTGAGTTTCGTGGTGAATAAATGAAGGATTTATTGAGATTAATCAATCAATTAAATTTTTATTAATAAAAAGCCAAGGAAGAATCGTTTTCCAATATTATTCGGAAGTAACGAACGAAGCAAAAATACTCACGTCTGAGAAAACTATGGAGAAAAACTAAGGAAATGATAAGAAGTATCAGACTATCTTCATTTAATAAAAAAGATCGAAAGTCGGACTTTATTAAAAAATTAGCAGCTTTGTTGTTCTTGCTCGATTACAAAGTAAGTTGACAGTACTTTAGAGTAACTTTTTACTCATATTAATAATTATGAACCACTCTTTTTGTAGATATAGCTTTAATAGTGGTAAGTTTAATACTTTTTGAAAAAATCGAATTAGAGTTCCAAGGTACTAGCGGTTGGCCCAGTTTATTTGTAGTCGAGTGTAGTTTAAGGAAAATGTAGGTATAAAATTCTATACCTATCCTATTATTGGATTTTGACGAATTTGTGCAATGTAGGAACATAACACCTTAACACCAAAGAAAAGTATTGTTTACTGTGCAGACGAGGGACTTTGTCCGCCGTTATAGATCGCTTACAATTGCACCGAGTAACGCACACGGCGGATTCAAAACACGCGGACAAAAAGTCTCCCGAACTACCGCGGACACCGAGGGACCCGACAGGACAGGACATATTGTGTGACAGGAAGCATCAACGCACAAGGCGGACTTAAGTCCGCGGTCGATAGTGATGTACGTGGTAAAGAAGTGGAAAAAAGAAATCCTTTATATGATACATCAAAAAAAGATTATCAGGACCGAAAGGACAATAGCGAAATATTCGTCGAAGGAATTCTTTAGCGTCTGTATATTTCATCATCAGAAATGCAAATAAAATAATCATAACGGATTTATCAAATAATTAAGGAGGGTTGTCTAAGTCTGGAATTAAAAACTTAAAATTAATGAAACACAATTGAGTGATTATTAAGTCTTGGTAATCAATTTTTTTTTGATTTCAGAGTTTAAATCAACCTCTAATATGTTGTTCGTATGTTTTGCGTCGCTTTACGCTGAAACTATATTTAATTAGCTTTCAGAAAAATCGTGAAACATTGTTTTATTCTATATTATAGCGAAAGCATAATAAATAATTTCAACAATACATAAAAAAATAGTGTGCACGGACCGCACATCTAAAGTGAAACTTCTTTTCTTAAATAACCTAATGTTATTTTTTTTTTATTATATTTATTTCTTCTCTTTATTCCAGTGATCTGATTTATGCGTTACGTGTTTTCTTTCTGCTTATTTATTGGTTTGTCAGACCCAGTCCCGGGGTGACGCTATTCCATACGTCCCCGGGGGCTGGGGCTGAGAGGTGGTTGCAGCGCTGCTCCTCGTTCTTCTTCCCTTCGGGCGGCACCTAATGTTAATTAGGCGATGCAGAAGGCATAGGGGAATGGAGCAGCGCACGCATCACTCATATGTATGTATATCCATACTATATACTATCTATATACTTATAATAAATCTGTAGAGAGGTCAATTCTGTACATGAAATATATTTTAAAAATAACTATCAGGGGGTGATTAGTGATCGATACTGATGCCAAAAATGCAATCAGTAAATTTTTTGTCTGTCTGTCTGTCTGTCTGTGTGTATGTTCCTTATAGAAACAAAAACTACTCGACGGATTTTAACTAAACTTGGTACAATTATTTTTCATACTCCTGGGCAGGTTATAGTATACTTTTCATCACGCTACAATCAATAGCAGCAGAGTAGTGAAGGGAAATGTTGGGAAAACGGGAGAAGTTACTCCTTTTTTTAAGCTTCCGTCGCGTGTGCAGCCTTAATGGTTAAAGTTATATAGAAATCATGTATGACGGAAATATTCTACATAAAATTGTCTAAAAAATATCCCGCAACAGCATATGTCTATCTTTTGTGGTTGACTCACAATAACACGTGTAATTATATAAATAAAGTCATTGTTTATAGCACAAGCCTGAGAACAAAAACTATAGTTTACACTACAGCTCTACACCGAAGCGAAGCGAAGGCGGGCCACTAGTACTATACTATAATATTATAAATGGGAAAGTGTGTTTGTTTGTTTGTCTTCTCTTCACGCCTAAACCGCTGAACCGATTGTGATGAAATTTGGTATATGTATAGCTTGAACTTATGAGACTGCTATAGGCTACTTTTTTTTAATTTATGTATTCGAATTTACATAATTTTCAACTAAATTAATCATTTTCATGGTTGGTCCCGATAGAGATGGCGCTACTGTCACGAAGACAGATTAAATTTGAAATGTGGAAGTTGCTATCTTAACATAATACGAGATGGCACCACTCGTGTTCAATACCGAGTATTTTGTGTTAGTGTTTCATTTATTAAATCGAGGTAATTTTACGCAATTTCTTTCTAATCTCATTTTTAAAATTAAATCTAGCAAATACTACTCTAAATTTATAATATAAAAATATCATTTTCGAGTGATTATAGATTCTGGATGTTGCTTGCCATAATATAAAATAGAGACGGCGCTACCATCTCGAATACCAACTCAACCGAGTAGTCTCTCTTGAAATAATATTTTCTGAGTAACTTAACAGATGGCACCACCCGTCTTTAAAATCGAGTATTTTTAATTGCTAAAAATGTGAGTTGTGATATTGCGTTTTTTCAGATCGCGCTATTTATGAACATGACTTTTTAATACTTATTGTTAATTTTAACGTGAAGTAGGTAGATATTTTACTTAAAACAATATTAGTAAAAAACCCGACTTCCTTCAGTATCCTAATATCTTACCAGAAAATCTTATAAACATCAAATAGATATTAAATAATCAGCTGTTTACAGTAGACAGATACTAAATAAACAGCTGTTATGATTTATTTTAGTCCCTTAATCGAGTATTACCCAATAATTTTCAAGTGAAGATTGATCCTGGATGTTGAGTAGAGGTAGGCGCTACCAACTCGAATAACCAAGCTGTTGCGTGTGAAACTGAAGAGATGTCGCTACCCGTCATTAAAATCGAGTTTACTTGCACTAAAAATCTGAGGTTTTTCGGATGGCGCTATTCATGAACATTACTTTTTTATATTTATTGTTTTTAATAGTATTCTGTTATCTGTGCTATTAGAGAAGAATCAACGTGGTGGTGTTAAGTGCTTACTATTTCAGCAGGTAAGCAACAGCAAGCAGTAGGTACCTACCTACCTTGATTGATTTTAAAGAAATACGATTTACCAAGGTTTTTGTTTTCCTTTGTGATTTGGTTTTGTTGTGCATTAAATGAATTAGGTAGGTATTTTGGTAGTTTCTTCGAATGTTTTATACATTGGCTCACTGATAAAAATTACGATTATTATATTATAACCTACCTGCCTCGATTTTTACCAGTAAGATAGACAACGCATAGGTAGGTATTGGTTTTTGTAATAATATGGTATTGTAGTTTTTTGATTGGTTTTGTTGCTCTGAAAGAAGGGCTGCCTATTTGGTAGATACCTTTGTAGATAGGTACCTACCTACCTTGATTGGTACCTACCTACATTATCTACTAAGTGTGCATACTATTTCGGCAGGTACCTAGATAAGTAAATACCTTGATTTTAATAAAATACGAATTACCTATCTACATACCTACATAATATATGTTAAGTATCTGTTATTAAAATAGGTAAGTATGTAGGTTGAAGCTTTGAGTTGCTATAAGCTACTTTTTTACTCACTATGTCAAAAGAGGATGATAGCCTCAAATAGGAAAACCACGCAAGCGTAGCCGCGGGTAACAGCTAGTATATATATATATATTGTCGCGGGTGACGCTCGTAGCGTTTCAGCCTTCGCCGTGTTACCCTTCACCTTTCATGTTCGTCGGGAAGAGCTGCGCACGCATCCCACACACACACTCATATGAGGCCATGAGAACCATAGTGGCCTAACTATTATTTTTACAATATTGAGTGTATGATTTTTTCCAATTCAAATTGATGACTTTGATAGAACCAGATTGGTCTAAAAGTGATACAACGAATATTCACTAGGTGGCAGTATAATCACTGTTACGGTTTTTAGTCTGTGATCTAAATTTGAGGTGCCATACTGGCCTAAGTAAGATAGGCCACTATGGTTAAAAAATGAGTTACGCCACGAAGGTTCTCATGGCCTCATATATTAATAGTCTTGTGACGCTCGTGACGCATTCCCGTTGCATTTTTTCCATTAGATTTTCCAATTAACACCCCGTCCGAAAAGAAGTCTCACTTCCATAAACAATCCGATATAAAGGGATGGACCACGTGTTTTCTTAAAGCGTCTTCTCTTTTTCCTAAACTTCATGTAAATAACAATACAACGTTATCACAGAATATTACTTCCATAGCGTGCGCCTCACTAAATTTTCGGGGGACAAATGTCCGCACACCGTGTGCGTTGAATCCGTGACAAACCCTCGGCGGATTTTTTTTTCATGATACGCGGACAAAAGTCCGTAGTTTGCACAGGCCATTAGCTGTAAACTCCTGCAAAATAATCAAGCACCGGGGTAGGCCGGTAACCGGTAACTCCGCTGCATCCTAGGATATTCGGATATAAAAATCGGACAAGTGCGAGACGGATTCGCGCACTACGGGTTCCGTATTATACAAAATTAGACACAATATTATAATATCGACAAAAAAAAACACTAGCTACATGTGATACAGCCGTGTGACAGACAAACAGACGGGCAGTGGAGTCTTAGTAATAGGGTGTCGTTTTTACACTTTGGGCACGGAACCCTAAAACGGCATTAAATAAAATACAATTTATTTACCTTTCTCTTCAACAAGAAATCGGCCAGCTCTTTCCTTTGGTTGCTTAAGTCATCGTCAATCGGTTTCACTGCGAGGGCTCTGTACGAGATGACGTCATCGTTACGGGCATCGACGTTTACCCACGCTTCTCTAGTCTTCTTTCTGGTAGCTAGAAGGCGACTTAATATCCTGGCATGGTCCAATCCGAATACGTCGTGAGTCATCTCCGGTATAGGATCATCTTCTAGAGGCAATTCGTCCTCAAGCTGCTTGATTTTGGCCTAAAATAATACATACTTTTATTTATCAATAAATGTGCGGATGCCAGCCACTTTTTTTCAATTTAAAAGGGTGGCAAACAAGCTTTGGCTAGTCTGATGGTTAACGACCATCACTTGCGCCGATGCTTATCCTGATCCCATTCCCCTACCCCTTGGAGCCCTGGAACCTTACTCACCGACAGAAACACAAAACCACCAAAAGACCTAAGTTTGTGTAACATAATTTCCCACACAAATTTTTCCTCCTCTGCTTCCCCCAATTATTCGTCGATGTACCGATGTCGAGATACTCGATTTCGCACTAGCTAGCAGGAAGTTCGATCTGCAATCGAGGAAGATAAGCAACTATCGCAATTCCTGGTTAGAGGATGGGTGACCAAAAATTTATTATCTTCAGTTCCGTCCACGCTACTACGGAAGGCGCGTTAAGCAATTGGGCCCGACTCTGCAGTTATAATCACCCACAAATCCACACTGGGCCCACGTGGAGGGTCACAGAACATGCTTAATGGGCTGTGACGATGATGATAGCAAGTCATCAAAGTAACATGACCATAACATCAAATGGGATGGCAATAGTCACATGGCGTCTCCACCGAGTGAGCACCGAAATTTGAGGCTGATTTTTTTTTAAACATGCACTAATAATTAGCCTTGCTCCAAAGTAAGCACTGTGGGGTTTGTGTTATAGGGTACTAGGGTAACAGATAGAATACGTACTAATAAATAATTAATATATAAGTAACTTATTAAATATATACATTCTTGCTTTATCTAAAAGAAGTTGTAATCGTAAAGTGAATGTTTAAACAACATAATAATAATAAAAGTGTCCTTGTGGACGCTTACCTTCATCTCTGGTGACAGCTTAGTGTTTAATGTGAACTCTGTCTTGAGCAGGTGTCCCAACTCTGTAGGCTCATAGTCCTCCCCATAATCAGCCACAGACAAGAGCCGGTCTAGCTCAACGACATGTGCCTCTTGCTGATCTATGGAATTTATTTTGATTTAATGATTTTTACAATTCTTTATTAATTAAAACAGTATTACAAAAGATGGCCATGATAAATACATAATTATTAAGTGTGTTTCTCTTTTAATGACAGCAATAATTTCCATATTCAATTATGATTTATGCAATAAAGTGAATAAGTATAATTATTATTATTTAAACCACCAGGTGCTTGTGAATTTGTCTGTGTTGAATTAACGAAAGCAACAAAAAGAAAAAGCCAGATTCCATCATCTTTTTCAACTTCTTCAAGAAAGATTTCTAAAGGTCATTCTTTAAGGAAATTCAGTTCCATTAAGTGTGAAAGTATCAGACTATTGTATTTGCAATAGTATTGAATTTGATTAGATTTAGTTACTGACATAAATCCAAAACAATAATAGACTATAGAAATAAAGGGGATTGAAATATTTTATCATTTCTTACCCTACTACCTACCTACTTAATACAGATTAATTTTTAACACATACACATATCAACATGCCATGTTGCATGAATATGTTAAATGAGAAGATCATCTTCATCAGAAAAAATATTTCATACATTATTATAGTTTTAATTTTTTAGCATTTCAAACCTGCAAACAAACCTTTAACAAAAGTAATGTAAGGGACTTCTCCCATAACCCTCAATGTGGACAGTTCATGTCTGAGTGCACCAGCAGTGGATTTTAAAACAGCCTCTGTCTCTTCATCCGTAGCATTTCCCTTGCATACCCAAAAAACTTTTACAGTTTGAAAATCAGGTGTGATTTGGACCTACCAAATTTTAAAATAAAAATATATTATTAAGACCTTTTCTGTCTTCAACCCCAAATAGTAGAGTAGTAGTAAAAACCCCAAGGATGTCTTTATGTACTTCAGAAATTTCAAAAATTCCTATATTAAATGTAGTATCCTAGTCCTCATGTTCCCAGTGTGGATTGGTGGGTGATTACAACTTTAGATGCAGCCAGGACCATCAGCTTAACGTGTCTTCCGAAGCACGAAAAAATCGAGAAAAATAATTAGTTTGGTCACCCAACCAATGACTGACCATAGCGAAAGTTGCATAACTGCACTGTTTATTTCTCGCGCTTGTTTTCAGAATCTGAATCTGAATCTGAGTGCACTCTGGCCGCACCCTATGGGTGTATTTTATATAAAACTGTTTATATTCTGGTTTCACTTTCAAATCTTAGTTGATCTTTAATGTTATCTTTCTTCTCTAGTGATATCATACAGTGATATTAATTTTATGTAAAATAAGTCACAGATGAAGGTTGTATGTACATACGTACATGTACACTTTCTTACATTACATGATTTTGTATTTTACATTGAAGTCAAGTGTTAAGTGCCCTTAACACATCCTTCCACTATTAAGTTAAATGTTACACATTTTTTTTTCTCTGCTTGTGCTTATTAATATGAAATCTGAAGATGCCACGACTTCTGAATTGAAATAACACCGTCATTCATGACACACCGAAAAAACCGAAATTTAAAAAATGTGACATAACAACTTCGTCCACTCTATATATACAATATATGTTAATAAAATTATAAAGTAGGAGCGAGAGGTATACCAGCAAAATCTCTCTATAATCTTCTCAAAGACCTTAGCCTGTCAAGAACTGCAGTAAGTTCAATTTTGGAACAAGTAATTAAGGTTGCACTAACAGGCTCCTATCAAATTTGGCTAGGAAGAATGGGCAACTCAAGCAGTAAAGGTGAGCATTAATGTGCATCTCAAAGGGAGCCTCTTTAAACCTACACCTGGGTCGCAAGTCCCAGGAACTGCTCAAGAGTTTCTGTCTCTCTCACACGATGGACCCGGCTCCCGCATGGTGAATCCATGAATTGCTAAGAAGTTAATCTCTCTCTCTAAAATTAGAAGAGCTTAAAAATTACAGTAATTCAATAAATTAAATTGATAACTATTGATTTATATGATAAGAGTTGAGGACCAAAGGAGTGCAATTATTTATAAGGCAGATACTGTCAGGGCAGTTAATATAGTAAGGGATATGGTGGTATAGCAAGCCTTTATGAATTTGTCTTAGATATGATGGTGAAGGGCACTCAACGTCAGGCAGGCCATGAATTTGTTTGCAATCCTTTTTTTTATATAAATTTTGAAAGTTGGGGCAAACCTTAAGGCTAAATTTATGCTTCACCAACTCACAAGGATGGTGTTACTTACTTTTGAAATTTCAATACCTCGCCCTACTATATCTATTGACACAGTACCAGTTGACATAAGATCAGTAACTTGTTTCATAAACAATTTGTTTAACATAGCTACTCTACGATTTGCTCGCTTTCCTGGTTCATATTTAGTTTTAGCTAAGCTTTTCACTGTAGGCAACGAGTCAGATTCGAATTGTTGAGTAGGATACCATCGCCTGAAAAATAAAGACAACATAACCTAAAATTGATACACAAATAAATAAACAAGTAAATTTAAATAGTTTTGATAACTTACTTTTTGTTTTTAGGATTGATCATTTTTGTAAGTTTTAGAGCTTGTTTCTTGACACTACATAGATTGTGTGTAACATGATAAAATCGGAAACAAGTTAACATTGTACCTAATATAAATTCTATGGATAGCAAATTATAACTGAAAATAAACTGGTTGCAGTTAATGTTTGGCTTTATGTGGAATTTGTAGGTACTAAAACTTGGAACTCGATAAAAACCTGACTTTCCGAGATGTCTGGAAATTTTTCAAATTTCAAATTTTCCTTTCCTTTTCAGATTTGTTTTTTTTTGGATGCAAGGGATTTTTAAGTTATACAGCCATATTTACAAAACTTTAAAGAAAAAAAATGCTTTAGACAATAAAGGCAGAAACATATTTACGTGTCGTAGCGTGTAGTGACTTTTTTAATTAGATGGAATATGAATTATTAAGCTTATTAAGTTATATCAAATAATCCTTATTATGTTTAAATGAAATAACATTGCATGTCAACAAGACAGAATATGGCTGAACATAATATAATTTGTATACTTGAACACAACACAATAACCTGTATTCGCAATAAAAATTATTTGAATTTGAATTGAATTGAAAGTTCTCATTAATTTGAAATTAAATATAAATATAATTTTTATTATTTTTAAAGCATGTAACTGCTTGATGTTTAAATCTAAAGAAAATATAACTAGAAAAAAATCCACGCGGACCAGGCAGCAGACGGGACTCGAACCCGCACCCTTCGCAATCCGGGCGAATGCACTGACCAATTATGCTACCGCGGCCCTCACGGACCGCGTCGAAATTCTTTCTAGCTATTCTTAAGCTGCAAGGCAGCGCCATCTCTTCGCATTATAGGTAAACCCACAATGTCAAATGAATACTTTTACAAGTATTAAACATTTGAAAGAAGAAATAGCAATTATAGTTATAATTTTTATTATTTTTAAAGCATGTAACTGCTTGATGTTTAAATCCGTCCGTGAGGCCGCGGTAGCATAATTGGTCAGTGCATTCGCCCGGATTGCGAAGGGTGCGGGTTCGAGTCCCGTCGCCTGCCTGGTCCGCGTGGATTTTTTTCTAGTTATAATTTCTTTAGATTTAAATATAAATAATTTTTAAAAATCAATAACGAGACCCCCCTCGATATGCGAGCGTCTGCTACCACTCGTATAATATCACTGTAACTAAGTGGGTGATGTTTGCATTTTGTGACTAAAATGTCCGGACTTTTATCGAAATTTCCAGCTTTAATTAGGCATTAGTTTTTCGCCACATTCATTTCGCTTTTGATATAACTTATAACATAAAGGAATAAAGAGGCCTCTGTTTTACCTTTCTCACTCGTTTCGTTGTATCGGTAAAAGTGTCGTGTTATAAACACATATGTCCATGATTCATAGCGTGGGTGGATCTTGATCTTCCTTTGTCTGTGGATTTTGGTCCTGCTTCCCGCCAAGAGATTGTCGTATTGTCAAAAAATCATTGCAAGTTGGTTGGAGTGTCCTGTATTTTATATTTTTATTTTGGCAAAGAATTTATTATAGAAAAAATGGCAAAACTTGACGACAGTGAAGAAAAATGGCTAGATCAACTTGATGGATTGTGTTCAAATTTAAATGTTGATCCAGAAGCTGCTGAAAAGTCGAAAGAATCATTTTTGGTAATCAAAAGGAATTACACACTTGATGTAAGCACTTCATCATGCTATCTAAATAATTCTTAGTAGAATAGATAGTTCAATAATCATAAAGAATACCAATACTCGTGGTGTTATTTTGGGGTTACTGTAAACAACCTTTGAAGTTGTTATAGGTACGCCTTTTCATAATAAATTCGAACTATTTATAATAAGTAATTTCTCAATGAATTTTAAACATAAACGATAAGATAGCGTTTGCTATTTCCTTGATCAGAAACTGGAAGAAAAATAAAATTGATAATTAGAACTGTGCCCTTGTACAAATGTATTGGTAGTAATTTAACTTTGTTTACAAAAGAGCTTGGAGTTTAATATCCAATGGAGTATGCTTTGTTTTGTACATAGTAAGAGCTGAATACATAACATTTTTCTGAAAACTATGATTGTAAATAATTATGAGAAAGCTTGAAATATAAAATTAGTAGAAAAACTATCAATGCAGATAAAGAATATTGTTTCTAATGATTTTATTTACTTTATTAATGTACCATTGTATCATCTTAAAAAACTATCAAATTTAAAGACCTTACCTTTACTGCACTGCTTAATGATTACTTTTCAATTAATTATTTCAGGGTGACCTAGTGCATTGGATGGCATGTGCCCTGTATGTTGCTTGCAGAACATCTGTCACACCAACGGTTCAATCCGGTACAGCTGTAGAGAGCAACTGTGTTAGTCTCACCAGACTGCTGAGGCTCTGTAACATAAGGTAGGCTATGTATAAAATTATAACTTATATCCTATAATCATTTTATATCAATGTACAAAACTAATAATTCTTGTTTTTAACAGCTTAATACAGTTTTTTATCAAAATCAAAAACTGGATGGAAATGGCATCTATGCCTAATGATTTCAAAGAAAGAATATCACATTTAGAGCATAAGTTTGCAGTTTCAACTGTTTTATATAGAAATTTCCAACCCATTTTTCAAGAGATATTTTCTGGATTAACTAATGAACCTGTTAAAACACACATAAAGAGTAAAAAGCACAAGTAAGTATAATGATCATCATCAAAATAATATTAATTGTGCATAATTTTTATCATATATATAGTGGAAAGGCAAAATCGCTTAAACGCGACTTTGGTTGAAAATGATATCATTTTAATCATTTTTTTTTGCGTTGATCTGTTTATGTTTCTTGAAGACTTGAGTACTTTTTTGGTGCTTAAGCAACTAAATTTTTTGGAATATTTATTGTTCACAATGCTGAAGTGACATAAATTTTGGTGTCTTTTTGAAGAAATGGCGCTTAAGTCCTAGCATTTGATGTATGATTTGATGTTTGCTTGACAAAAGATGTATGTTGGGCTGTGTGAATTTCGTTTCAGCAACATCTAATTTTTAAACTATGTAACTTTGTTGGCACTATGTAACTTTTTAGGACAGTATTTAGAAAATAATATTATATGAATACCTTTTTATTTTTATGGCTATACTTCTCATTTACAATGAGTTATATTTTTTTGTGAAAAATATAACTGTGATCGTAGTTTCTGTAAAGTTACTAAAGTGGTGTTTAAGCAATTTTGCATTTCCACTGTCAATATTGTCTGAAATCAAGTTTAATGAATAAACTGTAAGTTAGGGATGCGCTGAATGTTCGGCCGAATATTGGTATTGGGTACATTCGGCATATTTTTTATGTTCATATTCAGTGGAATATTTGGTTGATTTGCCAAAAATCAACGAATTATAAATTATTGTTAATATTTAAATAAAATATCATTTTATTAAATATTAATCTTTCATGAATACTAAATAAATGTGGTTTATTCTGAAAGTTGACATAACTTTTAGTAAATGAAAGAAACACTACTTTTTGCAGCAATTATTTATTGATAAAATAAAAAAAAATATCAAATAAAAAATTTCTGCAGTTTTACTAATGATAAATTAATATTAATTAAATTTCTATGAAATAAACCATTTTAAGAACACTGCTATGAGTAACAACTTTTTATAGATTTTTTTTTTAATTACTATCTTTAGGAACTAACACAAAGTACATATTAAAATATGTATTATAATCAAATTAAGTTATATATAAGTATATATATGTCTATCAATGCCACATAAAAAATATGAAGTCTACAATAAAAAAACCATAAGTAACAAAATATATTAATTTGCAACATAAAAACTAAAAATTTATCATAACTATTAAAATTTTCAAATCCAAATTATTGCCATTAAATAGAATGGGTACATTGAAATGTTCATGTTAACAAAAATATAAAGGTAGCTTTAATCCTATTTAGCCATATGATATAGCATGCAAAAGGGATATTTATATTTATAAAAAACAAAACAAAATAAAATTACAATTCCATTAATAATCCATAATAAGAAAAATAAAAGTTTATACTTTAATATTCAACACGATAATAATCAAAACCTATATATGCATCAATTCATGTAATAAGAATAATGTTATGAATGTCATTAATAATTTAAATATTCAAGAATAGAAAGGTTTTTGCAGTAACCATTTTCGTAATGATTTGAGAAACATGTCAAATGGGAGTTTTTTTATGTCATGTGGTATTTTATTGTATACTACAAGGGGAGGTCGAAAAGTTCGCGGAATAAGAGGGAATGCAAATCTGTTGATCTTGTCACAAACTTAAACCATATGTTCTTTCCAGTTGAGCTTCGAGTTTATTTCAAGGCCTAAGAATGCTACCTTATTAGGGCTTGATAGGATTTCTCCGTTGAAATCAATTAATTATAGATTAATTTTTTAAATTATATAAGTTTAATATATTTGTTATGGTCAGATTAATTTTAAAAAATATTTTTATCAAGCCACTGTAATATTTTGCTTTAGAGTTGTTTTATTATCATCTATATGTTGCTTGAATTTTTGTTGTTTACTTGTTGTGACTAGTACAGAGACGCCATCCGCAAATAAAACTGTTTTTTGGTTACTGGAGTCAGGTAAATCATTTATATAACAATGACCCTAGCACACTGCCCTGAGGGACACCCAAACTTACTGTCTTAAATTCCGTCTGCTGTACTTGTTTAGTATTAAATTTATTATTTATAGTTTTAATCTAGTAAAGTTTAAGTAAATGTCAATATAACGCAAATTATATTCTATGAAATCTACAATGAACGACGATGTACAAATTTGTTTACCACGCACAATTGAACAAAATGTTTTAGCTAAATATTCGGTTCGGTACATTTTGGCCTGAATATTTGGCCGAATTATTCGTATTCGGTTGAACCTACATACGGCGCAGCTCTACTATAAGATTACATTCAACTCTATAAAGAAAATTACTTACTAATAATTATACACTTGATACCATACCTAATTCCTAACACACATTCTCACATCACAGAAATCATTGCTATATTGTGAACTGTTGAACAGCTTAAAGATTAACTTGCAAGGGTTATAATATAACCCAAATAAAATCTCCACTGTGTTATGAATATAAAAGTAACTTTTATAAGATGCTAATTTTATTTCAGGATGCAACCATGTTCTACAAATGCTCTTTTTGAGTTCACTTGGTGCTTGTATATCTGTGTCAAGGGAGAGTTTCAGAAATCTGCAGATGATCTTGTTGATATGTATCACATGTTGTTATGCTGCTTAGATTTTGTGTTTGCTAATGCATTTATGGCTAGACGCATTGACTTAATAAATCCAAGGTTCAAAGGTATGGTTGTGTGAAATGTATATAATAAGTATTCATATTTAATAAAACCTATTTTCCAATTTCACATTTCAAAGATATACCACCATGTAAAACAACTGTAGGTAGGTTCTTACCATGTCTTGAATGTAAATAAAACAATGAAATATGACAGGTGCAAGTTTTGTTAAAGAAAAAAAAAACAATAATTTAATCCATTTTTCAAAAGTAAGTAATCAACTTATAGATCTTGAAATGTAATTGACATCACTGAGTGTGACTATTATACTTATATATGTGATTTATTTTTAATTTAACAATTAAAATGGTGTTTGTTCTGTAGGTTTACCTAGTGATTGGATGAGAGATGATTTTAAATCACCAGATAAGGCACCATGCATTATTTCAACTTTGTCTGAAATTAAAGCTGCATTACCAGTTGAAGCTGGCACTATGAAAGAATATAACTGGAAACCAGTTATCAAATCGTTTTTCACAAAAGGAGTAAGTGCTGAAAAAAGATATGATTTTTTTTTATCAAATCAACATATTGCTGAATTATTATATCTTTATCCCAAATTATTTTTACTTTCAGATACTAAAAGGCAACAGTACACAGCTCACAGGAATCTTGGATGTTGGTAATTTTGATGCCAACCAGAAATCTTTGAACAATTTATATGAAACCTATGTGCTTAGTGTAGGCGAATTCGACGAGAGAATATTTCTAGGTAAGAGTTCAGTTTTTATATAAACTTTTTTGAAGTTCAAATCTCTATGGCAATGTCTCTTTGACAAAACTTGAAAAATATATTTTCAAACTTAAAATTTTCAGAACAATAAATACTCTTTGTAAAGATTGAAATAACAGATAATTATAAAATGTCGAACATTTATTGCATGGATTCAATATTATCTTGTTTAGTTGATTATGAGGGTATGTAAATTAATGAAAAGTTTGCCATATATTTCTATATAGTTCAATGAAAAGTTTAGCTATTCATTTTATTTAGCAAGGAATATAAAATTACATACAAACTTTTTCCTATTTACAGGAGAACATGCAAGTGAACAAATTGGGACCAAAAGCAAAGTGTCAGGTGATGAAATATCAGAAGTAATAGCAACGTTTGGACCAGTAAGTGAAAGTAAAATTATAAAACAAAAGCAATGTTTGTGTAAGTATTGTTAATTTGAGAAGCTTGGATGGCCCTTTTAAGTCGTCAGTGTCTTTGTAAGTGATGAAGATGTACATACAGTTGCTATTCTATAAGAGCAAATCTTCTATCGCCGACCACCATCGACGTACTTGCGGCTTGTTCTTGTCCAGAATAACGACACTACAGCATAGCGTCTGTACTCTTGTCCAATGACAAAAAAGGCTAGTGCTTATATAAGTGGTACCAGCTCCTTTCCTTGAATGAACTTAGAATATTATTTAATATCATTTCAATAGCCATGCGTCGTTACTTCGCTGACGGAACAACGTTACTAGGGACTTGTTATTGGCCAGAATGACGACATCACAGCAAAGCGCAATTTTGTATTTCTTACTCCGATTCCAGCCATAATATGGCCCGCCTTAGATTCTGATAGTAAATATTGTCACGATAAGGAAAAAGTCCATCCCTGCCTTAGGGTAAATAAGTGCCTGACTATAGTATCGTTTTTTTTACTAATTGCTGTAAATGGTATTTTGCCATAGTAATTAGAATAAATAAATAAATCGTCTTTACTCTGTCCAATGACAGAAGCGACGGTACTAATCCTTTCCTTGAATTATTGTTTCAATAGATCGGACGCGCATGCCCCGATACTCCGCTGACGGGTCGACGTTACTTGGGACGGCGTGCCGAAGAATTGACTCCAGTGTCTGAAGCCACCAATAGCCTGGCTCGGTTATTTTCCTTCTTACGGCAGACTAAACCGCAACCGTCTTCGCATTTACTACAGCTATTTAGGTAACTAATTTATGGGTGATTTACAATTAAACGTTTTAAAAATTATCTATAAAGATAAAGATGGGCAACTGGTTAGGTAGGTGCATTTATTCAAATTCCAAATTCAGATATTAATTTATTTCTATAATAACAGGAATATATTAAAATCAAGTAATCACTTGAATTATTATTCAATTAAATTTAATTGTTTGATGTAGTTCATACCTACTTATTATCTGGTTAATATGTGTAAAGTAAATTATGCAATTTATTTTTCAACATTTTCAATTATTTTATTAAAAATTATTATTTAAATAATACTTTGATATGATATGATAGAAATGAATATATATTGCAGTGAATGTGGTGTTAGTGAAGATACAATAAACGAAAACGTGATAAAACCATGCAATCAATGGATGGAAAAGTTCTCAAACTGCTTGGAGTCTAATTGTAGCGAGCAAACTATCAAGCTGCGAAGCAATATGGTCACTTGCTTGTATTATAAAGTATTCGAACATATCATTAGAGAAGAACACAGAAAAAAACCACAAGTATCACTACAGGTATGTTAATGTAAAAGAAGTTGTTGGTCAACTAGATTGAGGCTATATTCGCTTGTGTGTGTCAAACTATTGGTAGTAAATGTATTGTTCATTTTATATCTCTTTCATATCCTCTATAAACAAAATGTGCTTAAGTAGAGTAACTAAAGTTTTTATCTTCAGCTATACTAATAAAAAGATAGAAGATGAGCATTTTTTATGTCTGTAACTAATAAACTCAAAAACTACTAATTACTACTATTAGAAAGCTTCATTATTTGTGACTAACGACATAGACAATATTTTCTCGCGTTTAACTTAGTTTCTGCTAGTATACATCTATATATATATAATAAAATGGTAGGAAAGTCAAAACTGTTCATTGAATATTTTTTTTAAAGAATGCTTGGGCTGTGATCTGCAATCGATACCAAAGCCAAAAATATAGATTTAAGAATATTTGTCTGTATGTATGTCCGGGATAAACTCAAAAAGTACTGCATGAATTTACTTAAAATTTGGCAGGAATATTATAAAGAAGTTGGGTCAACATATAGGCTACATATTATCACGCTATCACCTACGAGGAACGAGCAGTGAACCCTAATTTCTGAATAACTCCACGCTTACGAAGTCGCGGGCGGCCGCTAGTATTAATATAACGATTAACATTTCAGCTACTAGTAACGCGGGAGACGTACCAACGCGCAATATACGCGTGTTGTAGTGAAGTAGTACTTCATGCATATGGTGTCCATTCTCTACGGTTCCCCCGAGTACTCTCCGTGTTCGACTTGAGCCCTCTACACTTCTATAAAGTCATTGAACTTGTAGTTCAAGCGGTTGTGGAGAAACTCAGCCGGGATATCATCAAACACCTTAACACCGTGAGTTTAAATCACTTCTTAGTTTTGGCAGTGTTAGCCCGCATCAAGGAAAATTAGACAGTAAAATGATAAAATTAGCGAAAGGCAATTGTTCGAGCCAAAATGACTTAAAATTCGAGACCTTAGGTGTAAAATAATAGAAATGAAACCAAGGTAGAATTTGTTTGACCATGAATTGCTTTATTAGTTTGGTGACGTTTTGTCTATATGTAGCTCAAAATAAATTAACTAGCGCGATGCAAAGAACTACAGCGCCGTGTATTTTCATACATGTGAAATACAATTTCCAAGTTTGTTTTATTTCTATTCTTTTCCACCTAAGCTCTCCTAAGTCATTTTGGCTCGAACATGGTAATTTTATATTTAAAGGACAATGTTAAATTTAGCCTAAGAACCAACACCAATTTGGCATTCATGATAATACTTAGTTTATTTTTTGCAATAATTATCAGTATTTAGATTGTGACGAACACTTCCAGTTAAGTAAGCTATATTAAAAAGTTAAAAAATAATCTGAGCCTACCATTTTGTGTGTATAATCTATGGCAGCGCTGCAAACAAAACACTCTTTCTTCCTAATGCCGGCACTTCACGTGGCTATTCGTGTTTGCTTTTTGAAAACTTGACAGCAGTCTGTCCTTTTTATTCCATATTATGCATGACAAGGGTAGTTTTCCAATTACAGAGCATAATGCGACTCAGTGGCGCACAATGCCGAATTATGCTGATGCTTAATTGGAACGTGAATTAGTTTTCAAATGCACCAGCAGAGTGCGCTAAGTTCAGTGTTGAAAAAAAAGTCAATGTATGTACCTTCATCCATACTTATATTTATTTTTTAACACAGTTTAAATTAAGTATGATTATTTAAAAAAAACTACAGTGAAAGAACTTTCAAAAAATTTCAACATTAAATAATATTACTAACGATATTAAACAAATAAAACATTTCGATCAATGCCAACTTAAAGAAAAAAACACTTGTTAATTTTCTGTCACTGAGTTGGTACGATTTCACGCATCACACGAAAACATTACTTTTGAGAGTACTCGATTGTGCGAAGCGTTACTGTAGTTGAAACATTCAACGATAGGTATTATGCCGCATAATGCGCTGTAGTGCTGTAATTGGAAAACTACCAATGACAGATTGTTGTCAAGTGAAGGGCCGGCATAAAACTCGATACTCTGTGGTTGTGGTGCAGGCAGTTGGCATTCGTAGTAATCTGTGGCATTCGTGGATTCTCGTTTCGGATTTCCTGTTGTGTGTGTTTATTTGCGATTGTTTTTTCTTTAATTTAACTATTATGGCTACCTAATATGCCATCGATGTTACCAAATAGCAGACCCCTTATTACCAAGTGCTAGAGAACCTGGGCCACAACATCCTGAGAGGATCATACATACTGCCAAATTATTCAAGAGCAGCTGATACACATTCACGCTGCATATTTATACAATATACATGTGATATACAAATAAAATACAGTATGATACAATTATGTGAAAAATAGTTAAAAAATAAGAAGCAAAACTACAGTTTTTATTTTATTCATGATTCCTACCTTACCAAGTTTTTCCTAATAGTTATTCTTTAAAATCGCGTCGAATAAAAATGAATTAGTTGTCATATTAATTCAATTCATACTGAGTTCATACTAAGTTCATAGGTTGACCTATGTTTCATTTAATATTAAACATAACCTCAAAAAATATTAAATTTTTCTGATAATTTAAGTTCTCAGAAGTGTCCGTCAATAATCTTTGTTTTTATAGTCATTTACTTGCAATTTCGAACCTATAAAATAATATTTCATGATTGTTGGTTCTTAGGCTAACAATGTATGGACGCAGAACAATGTCCAAAGAAAAATGGCACATAAAGCAATGGATAGTCTTGATGTTGTTTATTATTACATGTCAGCTAGAAGATCATTCCATGATTAAAAAATGGTAAAGAAGCTGTATCAGATACATAAAAATACTCTTTATAAATGGAATCTATAGAGGTCAAGTAAAACATGCTTATAAGGAAAAACCTTGGTAAGCTAGTAGTTCAATAATATCGATTTTTGACACAGATCCTTCTACTAAAATAACAAATGCTTCTATATATGTAACTATAACAATTGAGTAAGCAAATAAGTTTGTTATTTTGTGTTTTAGCAAATTATGTTTCATAATTTTGAGTCTAGCATCTTGCGTTTTCGGTCATACATCTCCATAGACAAGTAGGCTGAACATAACTCTTTTGCTATATGAACGGCGGGTCACGTGACGATGACGTAATTTTCCCGCCACTCTCGTTCACCAAGTCGAGCCTTGCAGAAATATGCACTCATTCTGACCTCAAAATTTTAAAAACAGACACCAGGCAACACTAAAATAGATCAACCAGATAAATCAAATTATAAAATACCATACCTTTACATTAAACTAATATAATTATTTTAACCTCACTAATAACTATCTTCTTATGTACCTTCTTTGAATACTTTTTATATGAAATTCATTGTTTTTCTAAAGGCTGAAAGAGATGAACTAAAGAATTCCCTTGTGGTTTAAAAATTTCCTTTCAGTAATGATTTTTAAAAGTATTACCCGACCTCCAGTTTGCTCTGGCTTTTATGTCTTCAAGCGGGTCACTGTCTAAACAACTACTAGATGCGATAGCAAAACGAAAACTACCTGGAGTTGCATCTATTCCAGCTTCTTTCAAACGGTTTTAATCCAACCAGCAGTAATTGTTCTTGTAGCTGGTTTCGCTTTTCCTGTGACTGTGACAAATAAACGACCACTGGAACAAAGTAACCTGCAAGCCGAACCTAGGTCAACCAGGTTTTTAAGCCAACCTATTGGATCTAGAACAGCGCTTTGAGAATTTCTTAGCAATCTCCACCCCGATTGGATATGAGTTGCAGAATCAGTCTTACAACCAAAATGAGGCCAAAACACTATAGAATCCTCTTCAATTGTAATTCATTCTGTACCAATGCTCAACAGTGTCAAGTCATGCACCCTACGTCCCGAGCATAATAATAAAAGAACCCCACTTATTCGAGATACTTCATATAAGGTGGGATTTTCAAGAGTTTGTTTATCTAACCACAATACCAATGATTTAGGGTTCCAAATCGGCTTTGGATGACTTTTTGGCTTGAGTAAAGAAATAGATTTAAGCCTTTGTTCAACAAGTTGGTTTGAACTCAATCGAACTTCACTATTTGCATAACATTAGATACTACCGATTTATGTAACAAAATAGTCTGATAAGACAAACCTTCTTTCAGGTGTAAATCACCTCTGTGAAGTTAGCCCCCCACTTTTTGAATTTTATTATTATCTAAGTTGTTCTGGGTTGTTCTATGTTTGTTCTACATTGTTCCAAAGTATTATTTGAAAAAACTAAAATTTGAAGCTGCCAGACAAAAAAAACGTTTTTATGGTAGCCCCCCATGTTTGGAAATTCAATATTTTTTTAGTTGTTCCAAGTTGTTCTAGTTGTTCCGAACATTGTTCCAAAGTATTATTTGAAAATATTCAAATTTGAAGCTGCCAGACAAAAAAAACGTTTTTATGGTAGCCCCCCATGTTTTGAAATTAAATACTTTTTTAGTTGTTCCAAGTTGTTCTAGTTGTTCCTAACATTGTTCCAAAGTATTATTTGAAAAAACTCAAATTTGAAGCTGTCAGGCAAAAAAAACCGTTTTTGAGATAGCCCCCCATGTTTGGAAATTCGTTATTTTTAAAGTTGTTCCAAGTTGTTCTAGTTGTTCCTAACATTGTTCCAAAGTATTATTTGAAAATATTCAAATTTGAAGCTGCCAGACAAAAAAAACGTTTTTATGGTAGCCCCCCATGTTTTGAAATTAAATACTTTTTTAGTTGTTCCAAGTTGTTCTAGTTGTTCCTAACATTGTTCCAAAGTATTATTTGAAAAAACTCAAATTTGAAGCTGTCAGGCAAAAAAAACCGTTTTTGAGATAGGGGCTATCTCAAAAACGGTTTTTTTTGCCATGTTTGGAAATTCGTTATTTTTAAAGTTGTTCCAAGTTGTTCCTAACATTGTTCCAAAGTATTATTTGAAAAAACTCAAATTTGAAGCTGTCAGACAAAAAAATCCGTTTTTCTTAGCCCGCCAAACCACTAGTACTAGAGACAATAAATAAATCAACAATAATTTTAAACAATGACGATCGTATCAGTACAACCGTGGGCTATATCGTTCCAATTTCATTTAATCATTTTGAATAAAATTAATAGTTATAAGACAAGAAAACATTACACTATAGGGTAAACTCCCTAATTGTTGGCACTTTAAGAGTAGGTTCCATGTCAGTCAGACATTAAATTACCATAATCACATCTAAATGAGTTAGTACACAACACATGTAACAGTATCAAGGAAATATAGTTCAATATTTGTTTTCATAATAGTACAGTCAATGAAGGCAAAAATCAGCTAAAACCTCCGATTTCGATGAACCTCCATCGATTTTCATGAAAAATGGTGATGAGGTGGGGGATACCATATGAAACAAAAGTGACATAGTGCCAACTTGCGCTTTTTCCCTAGGGGTAGATACCACCTCTTCTCGGGGGTAAAAATTATTTTAATAAAAATAACTCCAGGAATCGATAGAAAGACAAATTCTAAGCAAAAGTTGTTATATTAAGTTTTCGAAATAAATCAATACTTTCTGAGTTAATAATGATCAAAGATTGTGATTTTGCGTCAAAAAATTCATGATTTAAGCGGTTTTTCATAAGTATCTCATAAACTATGAGTTTAAAGAAAAATATATTATTACTAGACGCAACGAATATTCGGTTACTATTCGGTATTCGGCCTATTCGGCTGCTTTTATTATATTCGGCCGAATACCGAATACTTAAATAATATATTTTGTCATAGAGAAATAATTGGTAAAATGAAAATTAATATCGATTGATTACGTAGGTATATATTCATATTTTCATTTCTGTTATATATAATCATT